ACTTGGATGTGTTTTCAAACACTCTACTAGAAACTTTTCTTGAAGCAAATTATGATATTAAAACAAGGAAAGAGAAAATAGATGAGCTTGCATGGCAACTGGAACTTTCACTCAAGTCCAAGGAGTTACTGATGCAAAGGCTGGAAACAGCTATGGATGATGTTCATTCCCTTAATGAGTACAAGGCTACTTGCATTGCCAAGTATAATGACTTGGCTCTGCAGAAACAAGCTTTGGAAGCAAATGTGGAAAATATCACCCATGAAAATCATCTTCTCTCTGAGAAGATAACTGAACTGGAGTGCAGCTTGATGGAGTACAAAAGTTACAGGAGCAAATTTGATGCCTGTGTCGTGGAGAAAACAGACTTGTCTAATTTATTGAAGGAAGGAACAATGGAAAATGATAATCTTAGAAACAATAACTCTTCTTTGGAGGAAGAGTTGAGGATGATAAAAATGAGTTTGATGAATTGGTTCTTGTGAAGGAAAAGCTGCAAAATACTATGAACTTTCTGCGAAACAGGTTTCTTAACTTATTGTCATCGTTTGGGAAATTTTTTGATGAACCACCCCTCTCAAGTGACTTGGTTTGTCAGGATATTGAGTCTGATGACTTGACATCTGTCATTGTCCTGTTAGAAGAGGTCCAAAATAACGCATATGAAAAATTTCTTCATCTCTTGAAGGAGAAGAAAGATCTGATGGGTGAAAGAGACAAGGCTCAGGTGTCTTTAAGTGTGGTAGAATCAGACATGGTGCTAATGAAACAAAAGTTCGAACATGATGTACGATCCATGGTTGATAAAATGGATTTATCCAATGTAGTTGTAGAAAAGCTTCAGTTAGAAATTGAAGCTGTTTCTAAAAAGCTGAAGATTAGCTCTGAAATTGAAGAAACCTATGCACAGCAGCAGAGAGATCTTTTATGTGATCTTGAGCATTTCGAAACGGAGCTACATCAGCTTACTTCTAAGAACAGGGAGATTGCTGAAGAACTCTTGGTCTTAGAGTCTGTCAGTGAAGAACTTGGAAGCAATAAGTTGATTGTGGCAGAACTTGTGGAAAAAAACAAAGCATTGGTACAATCTTTACAGGATAAATCCGAGGAGGCATCCAAGCTTGCTTTGGAGCTTAATGGTCTGAAAGAAAGTTTGCATTATGCACATGATGAGCTGCAAGCACAAAGAAGCGCCAAAGATAATTAGAGAGTACTGTTACAGATCTTACTTCCCAAATGAATGAGAAGCACCATCAGTTGTTGCAATTTGATCAACTGAAATCTGAATTGGCCCATCTTACGCATATGTTCTCGGACCTAGAAGAAGAGAAATCTAGAGTTTGCAGTCTTTTACAGCGGTCCGAGGAGACCCTCAACACTGCTCTCAAAGAGTCTTCCACTATTACTTCTCTGGACTCTCAGTTATCTGAAATGCATGAACTTTCAATAGCTGCAGATGTTAGCCTCATTTTTTTAAGAGCTCAGTATGAACCTGGACAACTGACCTTCTTCGTCAACTTTCCAGGTCTGAAAGACAACTTGCAGAGCTTCAAAAAAGCATCTTAATTTTGAGAGTATACTTGATTGTTGTCTTGCTCGTGAAGCACACTGCATTGAAGAAAATAGAAGATTATCTGCGAGTCTCGACTCCCTACAGTTGGAGTTAGAAGCTTCCGTGGCTGAAAACCAGGTACTTGTCAATAAAAATAGCTCTGTAATAGCTGAGCTTCAGGACTACAAAAGTAGGATTGAAAAGATTGAGTTTGCTTACTATGAGGATAATCATCAGCATGCTCTTGAAGTTGAAAGCCTGAAGCACTTACTTGGCTTCTCCCGAGAAGAGATTGATACTCTAATGGTACTGAAGGAAGAACTGGAACTCAATGTAGTTGTACTCAAAGCTAAATTGGATGAACAGAACACTCAGATGAACTTACTGGAAGTGCGTAGTGATGAAGTGCTGCTGCTGCAGAATCAGTGTAATGAGCTTTCTCAAAGGCTTTCTGAACAGATTTTGAAGACTGAAGAGTTCAAAAACTTGTCAATTCATTTGAAGGAGCTCCAAGATAAAGCTGATGCAGAGTCCATCCAGGCTCTGAAGAAGAGAATCTGAAGCACCACCAACTGCTATGCAAGATTCCTTAAGAATTGTATTTATCAAAGAACATTATGAAATAAGGCTGCAAGAACTAAAACATCAGTTGGCTATCTCCAAAAAGCATAGTGAGGAAATGCTATGGAAATTACAAGATGCCATTGATGACATTGAGAATAGAAAGAAATCAGAAGCGTCTCATTTAAAGAGAAATGAAGAACTGGGAGTGAAGATCTTGGAATTGGAGGCCGAGTTACAGGCATTGATTTCGGAAAAGCGTGAAAAATTGAGGGCTTATGACCTGATGAAAGCTGAACTGGATTGCTCAATGATTAGCCTTGAATGCTGCAAGGAAGAAAAACAGAAACTTGAAGCATCTTTGCATAAATGTAATGAGGAAAAACAGAAACTAGAAGCGTCTTTGCAAGAATGTAATGAGGAAATATCTAGAATCTCAGTTGAACTTAGCATAGTGAAAGAATTGCTTGAGACCTCCAAATTGACCATGAATTTCCAGAAAGAAAGAAATGGCAAACTGAAAGATGCTTGCATTCCTGATGAGCTGGTTGTCAGTAGTGCTCGAACTTGGGACATTGATCTTAAGCATTTGGGCCAAGATACTTCAGAAAACTCCAAAGAAGCAGAATGCTTAGTTTCTCTTGGTGAAGGTGACCACACAAATGCACCCACAGAATTGCAACCTGAGCAGGTAGTTTCTACCACTTTGCTTGGAATATCTTCTCTTCCTTTTATTGATTCAATTAATAGTTCTTTGTTTCTGTATGAATTATAAGTCTAAAATTTTTATGTAGCATATGACTGTTGTGTTGCACATATTTGTTTTTTGATGTTATCTACTCCTGTCCGGGCTAGGCTCTAGGCTTAGCATCATCAGAATTATTAATCTTAAGGTCTGCATTTCAGTTTTTTTGATGAACTATCTTGCATTTACTTATGGACTGCAAAGTTATCAATTTATTTTAACTGGTTAAAAAATCTATTTCAATTTACAATTCATCCTATTTCCCTAGCAAGGATCTTGGTTGAAGATATCTTTGAAGAAAATATTATCCACTTTCATTTATCCTTCCTCTACTGTGTGTGACCCGTTCTATGTACTTGATAATTTTTTTATAGTGATTTTTTGCTTAATTCTATATCAGGATCTTGTATCTAATGATACAAATAAAGTTCAAAGTCTGGCACTTGTCAACCAATGTAACTTGCCGAAGGTTGATGCAAAACATCTAGCCTTAATCAATGATCGTTTTAAAGCCCAAAGTTTAAAATCTAGCATGGACCACCTAAATAGTGAGGTATGCTTATTGTCAAAGCCGTAAGGTGCTGGTTAGTGATGATCTCACACGATTTTAATTGCAATTTCTTCTTATATTGTTGAGCTTTAGGGAATCATTACATTTGTTGCATAAAGTTTCTTTAGAAAATGGTGATTAATTTATGTTTTTCTTTTGGCGCTTTTAGCTGGAAAGGATGAAAAATGAGAATCTGGTTCTTTCAAAAGATGCTTATCATTTCAATACCAAGTTTCCAGGTTTACAGCAAGAACTAATGCAGTTAGATAAGGTGGATTGATATGGACCTCTTCCATAAAGTTTTGATAAAGTTCTTCAATCAGGCTTCACTTTTTGCTTTTCCACAGGTGAATGAAGAACTGGGAAGCATATTTCCTTTGTTTAATGAATATTCAGAAACTGGAAATGCATTAGAACGGGTACTTGCGTTGGAACTTGAACTTGCCGAGGCACTGCAAACAAAGAAGAAATCAAGCATCCTTTTTCAGAGGTACGCTACATTCTAGAAATAACTCTAATTTGCTTTTCTGAGACAACTTTTTTATTAAGGAATTTGCTTTGGCCTTGAAGGTCAATTAAAAGAAAATTGCTATGGCTTCTAAGTTTAAAGTTCTAACCCTACTGCATATTAATCCCTCCGGAGTGTTGCATGCATGAATGAATTCTAAGCCTAGTTGAGCAAAGGAAACATCAAAGAATTTGACATATTTTATTGTGGTCCAGCTCTTTCCTGAAACAGCACAATGATGAGGAAGCAGTGTTCAAAAGTTTCAGGGACATCAATGAATTGATCAAAGACATGTTGGAGATAAAGGGAAGATATGGAGCTGTAGAGACCGAACTAAAAGAGATGCATGAACTATACTCTCAGCTAAGCCTTCAATTTGCAGAAGTTGAAGGAGAGAGACAAAAACTCACAATGACTCTCAAGAATCTTCGGCAATCGAGGAAAGCTCAAAACCTACTTCGCTCCTCATTAGCCTCTACTGGAGACCATTCCTGAGCCGCAAGGACAAACTTGGCACCGGATGTCTTCTTCGCAACGGCTCCCTTGCAGGATTAAGTTCATGCCTGCTCCTTATCATTAAGTTAGCAAATTTCCTATTTCACAGGTTATTAAGATATTGCAAGGTTCAAGGTTCCCAAGCTTGATACACAATGTTTAAAAGCAGTTGTATTTTATGTAAATAAATATAAGTTTCCAGACTTTGTCACGGGTTTAACAGTGTCATAAGGTATAGATAGACATAACACTTCGGCCTTTTACCCCTGGTCATAGTGATTTATTCTTCTATTGTATAGTGATCAAATTCTTTGGTTGGCAGGACTATTTTCATTTAGTTACTAGAAGCAATTATTCTACAGACGTACACATTTCCCTTAATTCCTGCTCTAATTATATGCATATCTGCCCCCCTTTTCTTTGCCTTGTATTCTACGCTAGACTTTTATCTTTCTGGTTTCAATCAACTTACATTGATTTAAGGCCTGCAAAATACCTGTAATGGAAAAAGATAATTGTAAACAGTCACACATGCACTCATCCACTTGTATAGGTGACAAGAATTTACATTTTTCAAGAGCAGTCTTAATTGAAAACAAAGAAATCAATAAATCCTCACAATAAATTTCGCTTTTTCATCTTTTTTTTATCCATCATCAACTAAGTTTTTTCTTTCCAAGCAACATTGGACATGTAAGATTTTCCAATAATGGTAAACGTAGAACTTTTTGCTTATGTTTCTGCAGCCACCAGAATACGCAAAATATTCCTCGAACAAGTAAAGATGAAGGACTGCAATCACAACAAGTCTGACAGGAAAGTGAAACCGACCGGTATCACATCTGATTAGGCGGCTAGTCTACAGTATTGTGCATGAACAGCTACTTTTCTTTGGAGATTCATCCTGTCGTTTCTCTGTGGATAAAATGTGGGGAATTAGTACTTGAGTTTGGTTTTGGCATACTAATCATACCGAAAGTTTGGCACATGAAACATAGTTCAGAAAGCAAATATAGTACTAAACAACGTACATTTGCCCTCAAACTCCATTCATGTGCAATGAAATAAAATAGATACGCTGGAGATTACCGTTGTTCTTGTCTGATAAAGGAAGGCGAAGAACGACATGCATTGTAATTACACCCCCTGGAAGTTCACCAACTGGAAGTCTGGACTCGGCAAGTGTCCTGCTGTTTTCAAGTATCTTTCCAGCATTAATCAGCTTCACATCCTGTATTGTCTTGGGGCAATTTTCTTTGTCTGCAAACAGAGAAGAATCACTTCATATGCAAACAGAAGCTGATCAAACGAAATCACAATGTTATAACCTACATTACCCAGAAGTAGCTGTGTTTGACATATGAATTCAATCATATTAGAACATGAGGAAGGTACAATCCTTCAGAAACATGAAAAACTAAGAAGCAAAATATATAGAACCTAAATTCAACATATATATATAGAACCTAGTTGCAGTAAAAACTTTTTCACTCTTAAGAAGCAAAACTGAAAAAATAATGAATGAGAAGAGACATAAGTCAAAATCGGTATATTAGACTCGTACAGAAGTAACAAACTTTCCTCCAATCATCTAATCCGAAATCGAAACTTTAGATTACACAATGGAATCTGTATAATCATAGGCGTTCTTGAAAGGCAGATTACACAATGGAATCTGTATAATCATAGGCGTTCTTGAAAGGCAGACAACAAAATAATTGAGAGACAACTTTGGTATTCAAGAAACCAGTATGTTATTGATCTAAATCCATGTGCCTTTGAAACATAGCTCTAGTTAATTTTGGAAAAGACTTCATAAATCAACTAATTTGCAAGCATATGAAATAATGAATAAGATGCAAGTAAAAAAATGGAAAAGTTAGGGTAACCTTTAGGCCACTGAGCAAGTATTTTCTCTTTGAGAGATGCAACAGTTGTATCTGGACTATACTTGCTTGGACCAATATCAGTTCCATCTGCAAGCCTGAATTTGAGCTCCACTAAATCTTCTCCAGCCATAGATGTATTCTCTCACCTCAAACTCTCATGTTAATCTGGGGCCCCCAACCAGATCGAATTAACTCTTCACTGTAAACCCTTTTTCTTTTTCAGAAACAACTGAAATTTTCTTGTCAAGAAAAACTAAAACTTTCCAGAAGAAACGAGCAATAACCCATAATTTTTTGTGCAAAATTCTCTGCAAAGAGTTAATCACTTGAAGCTTGAGGAGATTTCAAACTCCAAGAAGGGGAAAAAAGAAGAAATTTTTAGTATGAACAAGCAAGAGCATGGAGAGAGAGAGGACAGAAAGAGAGAGATTTGCAATTTGATGAAGAAAGAGAATAATGAAACCCCCCGAATAGGAACTTTTCAACTGAGATTATTGCCTGAATCTAACCGAAAAATCTAATGAAATGGAAAGTGACACTTTTACATTGTAACTCGTGAATAGCCCCACTTGGTTAAAACTCCATTGATGTATGTAATCTGATGAACACAACAAACTCATCTGTTTGAATGGGAAAACAAGTTTTTTACTTTAAAATAAATTTCAATATTTTTTATTACAATCGGATGACATGCAACTTTGTAGTTGTATGAACCTATTAAATTTTTGAATAGATAAAGAAAATGTTGTTGTTTTTAAAGAATTAGAATATAAATAGTTACATCTATAAAACAGATATACATTATTAAATATATTAACAAAATTTAAATATATATTATTTTATATTAATATTTTAGAAAAAATAATGAAGGGAAACATGCATAAAGCAGAAAATGTGAAATTCTATGAAAATAAAGAGATGTTAAAAATTCTTGACACAAGAGCGATCACTAGTTGCATAATATGATACAAATATAAACTGAATTAGAATTTTTTTTGATTAATTTGAGGTAAGTGTAAGATAATAAATATTTAAAGATAATTCTTAATCATTTGATATTAAATATTTATATTTTTAATATTTGTAATGCACGAATCAAAGATTTTAAAAAGTAATAATTTTTTTATCATCAAAGTCGCTCGATAAAATCTACTCAAATTATCTATTTTAAATATTAATATAGGATGGAAGTGAAAGAGTGGGAATCATGTCTCCTCACATTCTTAGTAAAGTCTACTAGATTATATGTTTTTCTTTTCTTCCTAATTCTATATTTGCACGTCGAGCACTGACAAATCACACAGGTTCCACTCTTTCTTTATTTTGTCTTGAAAATTTTCCTGTTTCATCTTTAAACTTGAATATTCCCACCTGATTATTTATTAATGTATTGATAATATGTGGAAAATGACCGTAAATAGGATATTGTAAATTATTTAGTTTAATTCGATTAAAGATTAAACAATATTCAAATCAAATAAATTCTATTTGAACTCGAACTTGACTATTTGATATCCAATTCAAAAAACTCATGAATAATTTTAAAAAATATATATATATATATATATATATATTAAAACTTTAATTTTCAAATTAAATCATTAATAATATTAATATTTATATGTTGTTTTTTTAAAATACAACATAAGATTTTCATGTACTTAATGTTCAGGTTCGAATTTGAGTTCAAACTTGAACCGAGTTGGAGGTTGAGCTTCAATCGAGTTAAGTCTGAGAATGTTTCGAGTTCAAGTTTTTTTGAGCTCAAGTCGAACTTCAACTTTTTATTTCGAGTTGATTTAAAAAAATTTAAGCTCGTGGGCTTTCGAGTCGAGTCGAGCTTCAATTTTTGATTTTGAGTTCGAATTAAACTTGATAATTCTAAGCTCGCGAGCTTTCAAGTCAAACTCAATTTTAAGCCTTTTAAGTCGAGTCAAGTCCAATAATACTCGAACCTGACTCGACTCGTTTACATCCTAAATTGTGGAAATATATATTTTTATTACAACTTCCCACGATAGTGAAAGAAGTAGAAAAGAAATTTGAGCGTTGAAACAAATTGCCTACTAGAGACCGACTTCTTCGAATGTGAATTGGCACTGACAATCTTTGTGTTAATTGTAGCAACTCAAACGAGACGAGAGACCATCTCTTTTTGCAATGTTCTCTAGCAGTGGAACTCTGGTATTCAATTTTGAAACTTAATGGGATGAATACCAATTCCTTCTCATGGGAAAAATTGGTTTCAAAGGCATGTTCATCATGGAAAGGGAAGTCTCTAATTACCACCATTTTGAAATTTTCTTGGACTGCTTTTATCTACTCTCTGTGGCAGGAAAGAAATCGGAGAATATTCCAAGGACGGAGTAGAACAATCGATTGCTTGCTCAAAGATGTTAAAGACGTTGTTGGAATCCGTCTCAGGGGAACTAATATTAATAGACTTGATAGTACTAATTTAATGCTTTGTAATGCTTGGGGTATTGTCTTACCAATCATTTTGTAGGTTGTTTCATTCTTTCATTGTAGATTGGTGGATTGGTTGTAACTAAACATTGATTTGGGTAATAAAATCAGAATTATCCAAAAAAAAAAAAAGATAAACGATAATGGAAGACAATTGTACATTTGATTCTACCAGGAAAACTCCAGAATCACAAGGATCAGAGTTTAAACTAATGAAAATAATATAAGAATGAAAGAATCATTCATATACGTATCAGTTTGCATGACGGAGAATATAATCATTTAAAAAAATTAATTTAGTGATTTCAGTGAGAAAAACAAACATAATTCTCATATCATATGCGGAACTATGTTCAAGTAGTTGTATTTACATTGTGTATATTATCAATAGATTAATAACATTTTAAATAGATAATAAGTGAATTTTCTTTTTTTAATAATTTCCAAGACAATACCTTATGCATATATGTTTTTGTTGACAGATTCTTTTTGAACTGTTTATAATGGCGCCCACGCCCTTCACTCACCACAGCAGTTTGGGATCTAATTAATGGAAAACCAACTGTAACCCCCTCAGACCGATGCGGATAGCCTGATCCGATCTGGAGTGTCATACTAGGGCCACCGGAGCGACCCATTGTAAAAATAGCGGAAAATTTAAAACTTTTCTTAAAACATATAAAACATAAAATGATTTATTATTATTCAAAAATAAGATAGGTTTTTCAAATTCAGATATAAAACAAAAATACAATCTACATGTCCCCTAATCACATGTACCATACTCTGCAAGCAACACCGGAAAACTCCCTTACTGATGTTGATAGTGATACTGGTACAATTCTTTTAACCTGCAATGTTGAGTAATAGAGTGAGCTTCGGAAAGCTCAGTAATACAGAACTACCAGATGATGCTACATGACATGTAGATAAATGGAAAGCCATATAATTTCCTTATTGAATCATGCGTATACCAGTTTGCGAAATAATTTGGGGTTCCCTTAGAAGTTCATCGAGTAGAAGCCATGAATCTCAGTTCATAAGAAACCTTTCAAAGTATGACATTTTCAGGAAATCGAATAGGATGTCTAGTGTGTTCCAACAGTATAATACAATCATAATAGGTACACTTATCAAATGATAGTTCAGTAAATCTCATAAAATCATAATGAAATTTAACTTTTGAAACTTGTAGTTTAAACCATTCTCTTGTACACCATCTGCAGTTCCTAGAACTGCGTCCATAGGGCTTACCTTAAGCACACAACGAAAAGGAAGCCAACCTGAGGATAGTCTTTGGGTCCTGTATCCTTAAGTCCGTAAGTCCATAGGGCTTACCCTAAGCACACAACAAAAGGGAGCCAACCTAATGGAACATCTTGGGGCCCGTGAGCCTACCCAAGAGTCACATTAGGTCCGTCAAAGTTTTCCAGCTTGATCAGAGCTGTACTTTATAAATCCGTATCAAAAATACAATTGCACCGTGACATAAATTCCATAAATCCATATACATGGTAATCAAATACCAGTTTAAACCAAAAATCAGATAGTCGTCTTAATCCATAAAACATCACAATAAATTGGTGCATCAATAAAACAGGAGCCATAGAATTCAGTGTACCACATTTTAAAACAAATAAAACAGTTCAGTAATAATTAGGGAACACACTAGAGAATCCAAGTATTTTCAGAGGCCATTGTAGTTATCATTATGGATAACATGAAACTTATGAAATTTGATCGAATTCCAGGAACAAGGTCCTATTCAGGAGAACCGATTACTAACCGATCTAGCCAGACATTTAAGGTTGATATATTAGAATCCCACTATATTTTCGTGTGCATTAGGAAAACGTTCAGGAACCTTTATACATAATAATTTTAAATTCAGATTTATTGCGAGTGATTCCATTACCCAAACAATCCGGGGTATTCAGGAATATACTTTGAATTCATAGGATTTCAGCCCAATTGAACCAAATGAGGTATTCATAATCTTTTCCTTCTGCGTTACTTGCTTTTTTTCAAACATGACCGAAGTGATTTTAGATGAAAATATAGAATCGAAGATTCAAGTCATTTACAATCTACGACTATCGATCATATTATCAAACAACTCGAGTTACACAACTCTCAAACTGATGCATGTCAACAAGTCAATTCATTATCCTTCCAGTGTATTCACTCTTTAATATCATAATGAAGATCCATAGATCATCCCCATAATCATCACTGAATAAATCTTCCAACGGTCTTTATTTCATTTTCACGTTTCAACAATATCAGGAAATACGGACGTACTTGATCCATGGCTCATAACCCATAAGGACAATTCATCATGTAAGTTCAACAGTGTTTTCAAACTCATCCAATCACCTATTTAATCCTCAGTCATTGATGTTACTTAGTTCGTTTAGTAAGCAAGTCTATCCCGATTACTTTAAAGTTTTCCAGAATAATTCAGACGATTCTGAATTTCAAATACACGTTGTACTTCATTTCAGTCCAATTTATTCATATAATAAAGTCATTCTGGTATTCGTGGTTGTTTTGACTCACGAATACCCACTTATTAGTACTGTATGCGCTCTAGAGTTGAGCTGAGCCAAGTACTTCTAGAATTATCATCGATCCAAATTTGAGAAGATGAACAAACATTCAAGTGGTACTTATATCATTCAGGTAATGATATAGCACTAACGTTGGTTGATCACTTAAGTTGCGTTCCACAACTTTTACTAGTAGCACAACATCCATGTTTATTTGGATTTCTTAATTAATCCAAAGACATTTACTTATTCTAGGTCATAAGGGCATTTTGGTGCTCAACGTTTTTCTATTCATTTCAAAGCTTGAGTATATCCATTCATTCTTGAGCTTGGTGACATTCTTGAGTAATTTCCATTCCAGGGGTATTTTGGTCATTTTATAATTCTAGAATATTTCAATCATTTTCTTCCATCCGGTCTTATTATTTAATTCAATCT